TCCTTTAGGGATTCCAAGCCATCTCAGTGTTCTTTGTGCTAGGACACAAAGGGTATTGTTGCCACTCCATGCTAGACTCCATCAGCCCTCTCTGCTTCCTATACTCAAGTGTAATACAGTGGTACCTTGGGTTACAGATGCTTCAGGTTACAGGCGCTTCAGGTTTCAGACTCCGCTAACCCAGAAATAGTACCTTGGGTTAAGAACTTTGCTTTAAGATGAGAACACAAATCACGTGGTGGCGGTGTGGCAGCAGTGGGAGGCTCCATTAGCTAAAGTGGTACCTCAGGTTAAGAACAGTTTCAGGTTAAGAACGGACCTCTGGAACGAATTAAGTTCTTAACCCGAGGTACCACTGTACTTAACTTTTCCATATAAAAGAGGAGTGTGATCATTCACTTATATGAGAACATGTAAAGGAAACATTTGGGAACAGCACTGAATCCTGCATCCTGCCCTGACTTTACCAAGCTTTCTCCTGTCTGCAGTGCCCCCTCATACTAAAGTGTAACAAAACATTAGAAGAGTGTGACAGTGTTGGAAAGTCACTTTTGTATACAGATAGGTCACTACCTCAAATCCATTATTCTGGATTCAGCTGTTTGGCTGAGATTCTCTTGCTTTCAATGCACTCAGAAACCCACAATGGTAAATAGTAATTGTTCAAAATTTTTCAAGCTCATGTTTTCTGGAGAGATGACACATTGCTTTTGGCTTACTGCTGCCGTTTTTCAACCATGCAGACTAGCAATTTTCTCACCACAAGAAAGGTAACTCGGGCTCTAGAATTTTCCCAGGCGAAGAAATGTGGAGTGTTCTTTTTTTAAAAAGAGAGAGAAAAAGAAAAATCCTGAACTTCTAGTGCTAAGAACCAATTTGTTACAATAACTGGTGAATTCTCATCTTGGTCTAGTAAGAGCTTTGGAAGCGCTCTTTCTTCCGATGAAAAAACGAACAGTATTAGTGGAAAGTCATTGCGGCATTTTTCCAGATGGAAAAAGTGAAACTGGAAAAGTCAACACACTACAAAAAAGAAGATCCAGCAATTCTGTCTAGTGTGTGAGATTAGCTGTGCAATATTTTAGTGTTGGTTCTGACTTTTGGGGAGATGGGGGTGGGGAACAAATACAGAAAAAAGAATTAGAAATATGCCACCATGGGGAGCATTTAATCCCCCCCCCCCCGCTAACCTTCTCTGGTTCATATGGTGAGTGTGCAGAAGCAAATGTTTTGAATGGAAAAAGTTGTACACATCTCCTCAGTTGTAGGATGATTTATTTGCAAAACACACAGAAATTCAGGAAACAAGAATATATGAACAGTCCTTAGGGATCTGCAGGAACACGAGTTATTTATATAACTAAACTCTTAGGGACCAAGGCACTCCAGCAAGCTACTTGGGGACCTTTGGCTCTATTGCACAAAGCCCTTGAGATTTTGAGCTGACAGCATCCTCTCCCTCTTGACTATGCATTCAATGTCTGCCTCCCCCCTGTCATCTGTTCTTACAGAGTTTGTTTGTCTAGCTCACCTTTCTCTTTCACACGCTTTTTCTGTAGCCAATAACAAAACTAAGCTGGAGCCCCAAATGCACGAGCAAGAAAGCAGTCAATCAGTTTAAAGTCTCTGCACCGTCACTTGAATGGCTTAGTTTTAAAATGACCTTATTAAGCTTATTTCTTGTTCTACAAGGTGGTCTTTGACTAGGGACCCCAGAAGTATTTGGGGGGGTTCAAGGTAATGTGCTTTTTAAAATTAGAAATTAAATCCAAAAATCCAAACTGCACTCTACAATTCATGATTACATAGCATACCCTGCCTTTGACATAGAGTGTGCTGGTCATTCTACAATTTAGATGAAATCTATTTTGGAGGGACTGGCTTGTGTGAATGGTTTATATCTACTTAGGAGTGAGTAAATAATTAGTTGTCAACTAAATTTCCTGGTGGAATGTGATTCTAAGCAAACTTGCTACAAAAAAGGACAAATCAGTAGGGTTTATATTTCCAAGTACATGTCTTCAGGACTGAAGAATGGAAACCTCCATATCAACTTAGTAGAGAAGTAAAGTTATGTATTTCTCTAGGGGAAAACACAGAAACTGCATGCACCTAATTTTTGGTTAAAATAATTTGGGGGGGACTACCATAACAAATAACAAAATAGACTTGCCTTGGCAATTGCCATAAAAATCCTGGCAGCAACACCACACACTTTTGTAGCAGACGACGCTTCACGGAATGATAGAACTATTTCATTTGGCCATAAAGTTGTTTTCTCTAAGTGGAATACTGAAAGGCTTTAGTAAAAAGAAATGACGCAGTATGGGTGTGAAGTAAAAAAGCAAATTTATTTTGGGAAGGAAGCAGACTTTAGTTATGGACAACTTTAAAGTGTTGCTTGAAGACCCGATTAGAAAAGTAAATATAGCACATTCTAATTTGAAGAAATACAGACCAGTACTGGGAATGCACAGGGTGAACATTTGAAAAGAAAATGCCTGTTCATTCTTGTAGTAATTACTGTGGGACAGAACACCACTACTACTGAATACTTTTTTAAAAAGCCAAATAATGGCTACTCCTCTGAATGTTAGTTAGAAACTACCCCACAGAAATGCTTTTCAGTGGCATAGGGTGTCCCTATTCAAAATTTAATAAAGTTTGAATTTGCATTGTCTTACAAATGAGCTCACAAACTACTAAGCCTTCAAAAAGGTTAACTAGCTCACCTGCCCACACCCATGCATTAGTAATTTGTACCTAAAATGGGGGGTTGTGGGTAAGGAAGAGAGCCATAACTTTGCTAAAATGTCCCTTTGTTCCTGTCATAGACTATCAACTAAGAGACAATTTATAAGCCTGCATTACAACTCCTGAGGAATGTTTTGCTTGGGTGCCATGAACCCACCAGTCTAGAAGTTCAGCAGTTATGTTCTCCTATGTGAAGTTTATTGGTGAAATAGAAGGGTGGGGAGATGACTCAGCAGTCAGCTGGTGTGTATATTTAAGTCTCTTGAGATCTCAAGGCTCCCCACAATGCATTCTTCTCTTGCAATGCCAGCTGTTGAGGCAGTGAGAGTGCTTTCCTGGCTCAGAACAGCAGAAGAAAGTTGTTCCCTTGGTTTGCAACATTGAGTTATGTACACACCAGGTCCAAATGCAGTGCATAATGCCTAGCTGTTGGAAGTCCGTAGTAAACTTTTAAAACAATTGTGAGCATACCTGTGAAAGCTGTAAGCTGTTTTGCCTCCAAAATGTATCCCAAAATATCCTAAGAAGTTTTTCTTATGATCTTGCATGCCCTTGTGTATAAGAAAGCTCCATTGAAAATGGTGGGGTGTGCTTCTGAGTGAACGTTAATCGGATGGGGCTGTGCAATTGTTTCTGTATTTCAGCCCAGATTCCCACCAATATATAATGGAGCAGTATGGCTGGTCTACCTTAAAGGCCCATTGTCCAGAACGGCTAACGGTGTGTCTGAAGCAGTCTCTCTCTCATGCTTTCTAATATTGTCCCAGACTTGTTATTGTTGTTGTTGTTTAGTCGTTTAGTCATGTCCGACTCTTCGTGACCCCATGGACCAGAGCACACCAGGCACTCCTGTCTTCCACTGCCTCCCACAGTTTGGTCAAACTCATGCTGGTAGCTTCGAGAACACTGTCCAACCATCTCGTCCTCTGTCGTCCCCTTCTCCTTGTGCCCTCCATCTTTCCCAACATCAGGGTCTTTTCCAGGGAGTCTTCTCTTCTCATGAGGTGACCAAAGTATTGGAGCCTCAGCTTCACGATCTGTCCTACCAGTGAGCACTCAGGGCTGATTTCCTTCAGAATGGATAGGTTTGATCTTCTTGCAGTCCATGGGACTCTCAAGAGTCTCCTCCAGCACCATAATTCAAAAGCATCAATTCTTCAGCGATCAGCCTTCTTTATGGTCCAGCTCTCACTTCCATACATCACTACTGGGAAAACCATAGCTTTAACTATACGGGCCTTTGTTGGCAAGGTGATGTTTCTGCTTTTAAGATGCTCTCTAGGTTTGTCATTAAGCTGTCATTGTCGTTATTAAGCTGGAATTTTAGGGATATTTGCTTTTTTCTCAAATCTTCAAAATTAGTGGTAGATACAAAAAGGGAGGTGAGCTTGAGGAGAAGAAGGTGGGAAGACTGGAAAAGTTCAAGTTCAAAAGTTACGCTAGTGATGATCTTCATATCCTAGTCTTCCATATCGTGTATAAGATTTTCATCAAAAGACTGAGGAAACAGTGGATGAATGGAAGCATGATGAGGAGATCTTAGCCTTGATTCAGAAGAATATAACTGATACGAAAAGAGAGGGAAAGTCAATGTCAAGAAAACTTGGGCCACAAATGGGTGAGCCAAATTGGGAGTCCAGGAAAGAGTCAGTGGAGTTGCATAGGTTGCCTGTAGTTAAACAAAAAGCCAAATCGCCCACATCTCAGGGCTGAATAAACCAGTGGGAGGAAGCAAGGAAGCTAGAGTCAAACTTGGGATAAGAAATCTCAAGGGTAGGAGAGTGCAGCCCCTTGGAGAGGTCAATGGCGGAAGCTAAATCTCTAGGAGAAAAGCCAAGAATGAAGGAACAAGACATGGTTGCTGGTCACAGATTCCCCCAGCGACTGTTTTTCACTGGAATTGTTTGTTTTTATTGAACTTTAGAAGCGTGTTTTGCCACTGTTAGGAGGCAAACATTATGAATTGTTTGTCCAGCTCCTCTCTGGGTGAATTCAAGAGGAAAGAGAAGTTCATGGGCAGAATGCATGGAGCCATTTAAACGTTGTTGTTTTTTTAAAAAAGCTTACTTCTGTCCCCTTCTGTTTTCCTTATGGTTCCTATAGCATCTCAATGTGTCAGTATTTCTACAGTAAACCTCTGTTATCTATTTCCTTGAGCTAAAAGATAGATATGAGGGGGGAAATTAATTGTTTATATATATGTCTGTGTGTATATATTTATGTGTATCTCTCTTTGTGTGTGTGTTTTTGTGAGTGTGTGGGTGGGTGGGTGTGTATGCATGTATAATAAAACACATACACACACACACACACACACACACACACACCAGGGTTGTTGCATTATAGTTGAATATGGTGGCAAATTTACTATTCTTCCCTCTCTTCCACTTCTAGTTCTTAACATTTCATCACAGTTGTTGTGGCCAGGGCCTTGGAATAGTTCTCACTGAGGAGATAAACCTCTTTGTGAAGTTGTAAATGGTGCCATTATGCACTGGGAGTTAGGACTCACATTTTGTTAGAACAAAATCCAGCCACTTGACATGAGTAAAGCTAAGCTATAGCCCTTCTTCCAGAAACGTACGTGTGTGTGTGTGTGTGTGTGTTTATGTGAAGATTTTGCAATGTGAACAGACAGTCTACTGAAGCCCCACATAGCCGGAAGTGATAATTGTCTTTCAACAACACTGGGGCCAGGGAGGGGTATCAAATTGACTACCCTTGCTCTACTCTACCGCTGGATGACTTCGCGTCTCTTTGGAAGGGCTATAGCTCAGCTCAGTTGCAGAGCACATGCTTTGCAGGTTCAATCCCCTGCATCTCGGTGTAGGGCTGGGAAAGACTCCTGCTAGAGACAATGGAGAGCTGTTGACAATACTGAGGTAGATGGATCAGTATGGGATGTGGGTGGCACTGTGGTCTAAACCACTGAGCCTCTTGGACTTGCCAATCGGAAGGTTGGCGGTTTGAATCCCCGCCATGGAGTGAGCTCCCGTTGCTCTGCCCCAGCTCCTGCCAACCTAGCAATTTGAAAGCACACCAGTGCAAGTAGATAAATAGGTAACGCTGCAGCAGGAAGGCAAATGGCATTTCTGTGTGCTCTGGCTTCCATCGCGGTGTTTGTTGCGCTAGTAGCAGTTTAGTCATGCTGGCCACATGAACCGGAAAGCTGTCTGTGGACAAACGCCGGCTCCCTTGGCCTGAAAGTGAGATGAATGCCGCAACCCCATAGTCGCATTTGACTGGACTTAGCCGTCCAGGGGTCCTTTACCTTTGTTTACCTTTTTGAGATGAATCAGTAGTGTGACTTGGTATAAGGCTGAGGTTTCCATTGACAGGATTCCACAGAGGATGGGCGCATTGTGTGTCTGAATGCAGGACTCAAAAGAAATGCACAGTGCTTTCCAGTACACAGACCAGACCGTCCCTTGACAATGAGGGACATTTTGCTAATTGAATATAATGTCCACAGTCCAAACGCTTGTGGCATTCCACTGCACACAAGGCTTGCTTCACATTCCAGTATGCATCCCTACTGTGTGTCAAAGACATTCCCCAAGCAACTCTGATCAGTTTACACTTTCTTTGAAAAAGGTTTATAACATGACAAAGTTCCAACCTATCAGCGATAGGTGTTTTTTGCATACATGTGAATGAATGCCTTAGAAAATGAGAGGGCTGGAGCATATGGTGACAGTTCTGTATGCATTGTTGTAACTGTGTGTTGTTGTTTTTATTTTAAAGAATAAACTGCTTTCAGTCTTTTTGGAATTCTTCCATGGAAAAGCAGATCAGGCAACTGCTCCAGCTTTTTCCAGAGATAACTGTTCTATGAACAATGCTATAGGGCCTTTTCCAGAGCAATCAAATGAATGGTTTTCATTGGACAGTGCTGTTTTATGAGGTGAGCTTGACATCCCCCTGTATAAACAGACCTGGCATTGACCATATCCATGAAATGTGAGATCTCACAGCAATGGCTCTTGACCTATATACAAGCAGACATTCTCAGAGCTCTTGCTTTAATTTAATTTTACTCCAGACTTGGATAGCCACTGCCAGGGAATTTAGCTCCCAGATTTACTCTTAACATACAAAAATAACACAATAGCATTTGCAGATCCATTTTTCCCCCCCTAATGGTTTTGGGGCTCAAAATTAGAAATAACTTTGTCAGGCCTATCTAAAATATATACTGTGACTAAAGCAACATTTGGCTGCTTTGTGTTTTACTTTGGTTCCTGTCATGAGGCTAAGTAGAGGAGAAAATAACTGAATGGAATCAAGATGGCTGCTTTGTTTTTCCTCTTCAAGCCTTTTACTCTGAGGAATATTTATTATTAGTATTATTATTATTTGCATTAACATTCCGCGTGACTTAGCCAAGATTCTGATTGAAGCAAAGCTCTGCCCAGTACCTAACAAAATTTCATTTAAGCAAGTATTTCTTGTTCCTAGATACATGTGAAATACACTGCCCTCACTCATATTCTATATAACATATGGATTTTAAATATGAACTTCATTTTGTGTGTGTTCATGTATGAAATGCCCATTGGAAAGAAGAGAATTTATCTGTGAGGTAGTTGGTGGTGGTGCTCATAAGGGATATCTGATTTGCCAAGAAGTTACACTCCATTAAAATAATCTTATCTTTGTGATGCAGAAACCTGCATCTGTATCGTCCCTCCCTTTGTGAGTATGGAAAGCCTTTGAAATAACTGAGAATCCATTCAAGGACATTTTTGTAGACTGAGGTAAGGTTACTGGATGTATCTTGGTGAATACCCTGGCAAAAAATTCTAGACTGGTCCCTGTGATTAGAGTAAATTGTTCTGTATGATTAGCCCCCATTTAAACACTGTGTGCCAAACATTGCCCTGCTAACTGTAAAAGGACTCTTTTTTAATTGGAAACAATTAGTTCTATGCTGATTGCATTATTTCCATGCTGTATTGTGTTATTCTAATAGATATAATCTGAATGGTTGTTACAGTAAATGAATGAAACTGGTAATTTGGGGTTCTGTCCTGGGAATCTTTTGGCTGTTTTTCCCTACATCCTTGATCTGCTTCACAAGGTTTCTAAATCAGGACTGGATCTAGACACATCACAGAGGCGTTTCAGTTAAACACATTGCAAACTTTGTATGAGAAATCGGGTTAGCTGACCAGGAGAATCAGAGATCAAGAGGACAATAAATTTAATAAAGAATGGGGAAATGTTATAAATTACTGGAAATAACACTGTAAACAATTTAAAAAATTGGCAGGATTGAAAAAAACAACCCACTTGCAATGAAGCGAGAACTATGGTAACAATTGAGTTTTAAGAAAATATGAAGGTATGACATGATACAGTTTCAAAATAATATCTAAGGAAACTGTGAAGGGAAGATCTGAGATTCTGAGAATCCTATTTGTAAAATGATTATGTTTTTTGTATAAGGACAATTGTTAAAAATGAAAATGAATTTTAAAAAAATTAAAAGAGAGAGAGAGAGAAATTGGGTTAGCAAAAACGGAACTCCACAGCGCCATCTGATGTGACAGTGTTAGAATCAGGGCTCCCCCCCCCCAGCCACATCTCGCTAGAACTCTGTTCTGGCACCTCTTAGGTGAACGCCATTGCCATTACAAGAGAAAATGGAAGGTGTTCATGGTGAGTTCCAGCACCTCTTTTTCTAGAAAAATAGCACTGGTTAGAATGCATAAACAATGCATATAAAGCACCTTTTCTTTGTCAATGTAGCTGAGTCCCAGATTATTTGTGGGAGAATGCACATTTTCTTAACAAAAATACCTATTTGCAGACGGCGTATCCTGGAGGGAGGGACTTAGTGGAAGAGCCTACCATTAGTGTTGAGACACTTGTGGATTTCACTCTTTTCATTTAACAACAACTACTCCAGGACTCCTCTAGTGGCAGCTATGCAATTGCAACTGTCTCTTAAAATGGCAGCCACCAGTTGAGGTGCCATTTTTTGTGGCAGCTGCTCTTCCCACCCCCCAAAAAAGAATGCCGTAGAACAATGCTGCAGCCACACAATCCTAGAGTGAAATATCAGCCAGAGGCTGTTGAGAAGAAGTTCTATTGCTCATTGTCCCCAGTTTTGGAGCTATGTTCACTGTCCCCTAAAATTATTACAAAAACTGTCTGCAGAAAACCTAAGTCTCTGCACTAACAGAGATACAGGAAAATACGGGGTAAGATTAATGCATGGCAATAAGGGAACTCAATGGAGCACATTAGAGAACTTGGAAATAAATGAGTCCCTATAAAAGCAATACTTTGTCAGATTTTAGCATTTTTCTCAACTGAAAACAACAAAACATAGCTGAAGATGAAATCTGATGAGTTTTTTTTTAAATCACCAAGATCTCTAGCTTAGAAGAAATAACTTTATCAGTGGATTTAAAAAACCCAAAAACACACAATATAAGGATAGGGAAGAGAGGAAACTGGAGAAATCCTGTTTTTGAAGAATTAAACTTCAAAGAATGAGCAAGCAGTCATGAGGAAGCAGCAAGAAATGATGAAAGATTAGCAAAGACCAAGATAGATGAATGATAATATTCACTTATTCTTTTCTATCACCATAGAATTAATTAGTACCAAACGACTGCGTAGGAAAATCTTAAAGGGCAAAGATAAAGAATCAAAGCAAAAGAGCCCAAACAAGGAATGGAAGGAGAGAGAGAGATAGACATTAGAAAACACAGATAGAACAGAGTCATGAAAACCAAAATCATACAAAGAAGTATGATCAACAGTACTGAAAGCAGAGGTTAAATCAAGAAGAAGATAATAATACTAGTTCTGCTGTTTAGACAAAGAAAATTAGTTCAAGAAATTACTTTGTCTTGTGGTAAGCACGGAAACCAGATTGGTGAAGATCAAAAACTTAGATAAAAGAAAATGCAGACACTGAAAAGAAATACATTTCAAGCAATTTGGGGACAAGAGAAGATGAACTGTGTGATAGCTAAGAAGAAAGAATTGAGAATAGTTTTGGTGCTTTTTTTAAAGATCAGATATTGAAAATTGGAAATCTGAAGGAAACTCTGTACAGTGGTACCTCGGGTTACAGATGCTTCAGGTTACAGACACTTCAAGTTACAGACTCTGCTAACCCAGAAATAGTACCTCGGGTTAAGAACTTTGCTTCAGGATGAGAACAGAAATCGTGATCCGGCAGCGTGGCGGCAGCAGGAGGCCCCATTCGCTAAAGTGGTGCCTCAGGTTAAGAACAGTTTCAGGTTAAGAACGGACCTCCAGAATGAATTAAGTAGAAGCTAACTGGAAATTCAGAAATGCAGGTAAAGG